CCCCGAGCGCTCGGCTCGCCGGTCCCGAGGGGTTGCCATGGATATCGATCTCCCTGGAGACGGGATGTCGCTTCCCACTAGATGTCGCTTCCGCCCGTGCCCGGAGCATCCCCCGAGGGTTTGGGGTACCCGTTTTTGTGGGAGACACCCCAAAACACCTCCCCACGCCAGCACAGAGCGGCTCCTCCTCCTCCGACGTGATGCGGTGCCGAAAATCCCCGAATTTCCCCCAAAACCACCCAGTCCCGGCTGGCAGAGCCCGGGGAAGGAACCTGCTCCATCACCTTCACCCTGGTCATCCCAAAACCCCCCAAAAACACCCCAAAATCCCCCCGGCTTGCCAAAAAAGCGGCACCTCGGCCCCTCCGGAACGAATGCGGAGCCCCAGGAGCGTCTGAGCCCCCACAGCGCCGCTTTCAGCTCGGCCGGGCCACAAAAAACCCCCGAGGGAAAGGTGGAAGATGGATGCCCGAGCACCCCCAGCCCCGCCGGCCTCCCCCGGGGACACAAAAGCCGCTTTGAGGGTTGATTTTACAGCGCTGCCCCGATTAGCATCAGCAAAGGGAGCGCCCGCCGCGGGACTCCGCAAATTCACCCGCTCGGGCCGTCCCCAAATACCCCCCAAAAAAAATCCCCAAAAAAAAAACAACTCCTGGAAAAGGGAACATTTCCAACATTCCCATCCCAGCCGGCTCCGCGCTGCTCTCCCAGCTCATCCCGGGATAAGGGGGGGGGATTCGGTGGCCGTTTATTCCCCCCCCTCTCCCCAAAGCCTGGCCAAAACAAAACCCCAAAGTTTCCCGTGGCGCACAAAGGCGGCGGCCGGGCATTGTCCCGGGGCTGCATCGCATTACCCGGGCCCGGCGGAGAAATCACTCGTATTTCACGCTCCATTGAGCAGCTGCCTGTATATATTTTCTGTGTTGCACTTTTAGCATGACAAAAGGAGAGGGCCTGTGAACTCCTTGCTCTTCAGACCTCTCCGACACGTCCCCCGAGCGGAGCCCCCCTCGGTTAGCATAACAAACTGCCACGCTTCCCCTCCCGACTTTTTCCCTCTTTTTATTGTTTTTTTTTTTATTTTTTAATTTATTTTTAATTTATTTTTTATTTATTTTTTAATTTATTTTTTTATTTATTTTTTAAATTTTTTAATTTATTTTTATTTATTTTTAAATTATTTTTAAATTTATTTTTTTATTTATTTTTATTTCTATTTTATTTTTTATTTATTTTTATTTATTTTTTATTTATTTTTTTAATTTGTTTTTCTATTTATTTTTCATTTATTTTTATTTCTATTTTTATTTTTTTTTCCTATTTATTTATATTTTATTTATTTTTTAATTTTTATTTCCTATTTATTTTTATTTATTTTTATTTATTTTTTATTTATTTCTTCTTTATTTCTTCTTTATTTCTTCTTTATTTTCTTCTTTATCTTTATTTTTTATTTATTTTTAATTTTTGTATCTAGTTCTAACTTATTTATTTATTTATTTATTTAAGTTTTTATTCCATTTTTATTTATACTTATTTATTTATTTTAATCTTTATTTTCTTTCTTTCTTTCTTTCTTTCTTTCTTTCTTTCTTTCTTTCTTTCGCTCTTTCTTTCGCTCTTTCTTTTTCTCTTTCTTTTTCTTTTTCTTTTTCTCTTTTTCTTTTTCTTTTTCTTTTTCTTTTTCTCTTTTTCTTTTTCTTTTTCTTTTTCTTTTTCTTTTTCTTTTTCTTTTTCTTTTTCTTTTTCTTTTTCTTTTTCTTTTTCTTTATTTCTTATTTATTTCTTATTTACCTACCTGTCCCCAGCCTGTCCCTGACCTGTCCCAGTT